GTGAGTGAGTTTTGTGTTGAAATATCAAAAGTGACAGATTTAGCTGTGCTTTAAAGCTAATGGATATAAATAGCATATTATAGCTTCACCTGATGGTTTATTAAGGTGTTTTAGCTGTGTATTGACGTATGGGAGTATTATAACGTGTTGTATCTGTTTATGAAAGCAAAATGAAGTGTATAGCTGTGCATAGCTTCACCTGGGGGTATAATGAGGTGATTTAGCTGAGTATGAACTGTACTGGGTGAATCTATAGCTGTTTTAGCTGTGTATGGACATCTGGGTGTATTCTAATTTGTATTTAGCTGCGTATGAAAGCTAAGGAAGGTGTATCTATAGCTGTTTTAGCTGTATATGGACGTCTGAGTGTATTATAACTTGCATTAGCTGTGTATAAAAAGCTAAATAAGGTGTATAGCTGTATAAAACCTCGCTTGGGGGGTTTTAAAAGCTAAAATAGTTGCCTTAGCTTATTGGTTATTTCAAGCTAACAGTGTAGCTTTCTGATGTGGCGTCGATAATAAATAGACAAATTATATATGAATCTATCTCCTCTCACTTCCCTCTCCCCTCTCTCCCCTCACCTCCTCCCCTCACCTCCTCCCCCTCTCTACTCCTCTCTCTCCCTCCCCCTCCTCCCCCTCCCCCTCTCCCCCTCCCCTCCCCTCTCTCCCCTCTCTCACCTCCCTCCCCTCCCCACTCCCCTCCCTCTCCCCTCCTCTCTACCTCCCTCCCTCCCTCCCCTCCCCTCCTCTCTCTACCTCCCTCCTCTCCTCCCTCCTCCCCCCCTCCCCTCCCTCTCTCCCTCCCTCCCTCTCCTCCCCTCTCTCCCCCCCTCCCCCCTCCTCCCCCCTCTCTCCTCCCCTCTCCCCTCTCTCTCTCCCTCCTCTCCCCCCCCCCTCTCTCTACCTCCCTCCCTCTCTCCCCTCCCCCTCTCCCTCCCCCTCTCTCCCTCCCCTCTCTCTCTCCTCCTCTCTCCTCTCCCTCCCCCCTCTCTCTACCCCTCTCCCTCCCCCTCTCTCTCCCCTCCCCCCCCCCTCCCTCCTCTCCCTCCCCTCCCCCCCCCCTCCCCCCCCTCACTCTCCCTTTCCCTCAGTAGTGAAAGTTCCGTCAAACACCCACCAGACGCCCTAAGAAAGTGTTGCCATCTTGGTGTTCACGTATTTAGGCCTCTTATCACCGTATTTATCCATATTTGTTCCTTTATTTCCGTATTTATCCATTTTATCTTATTTTTCTCTCTCTTATTTATGTGTTTTGTTTCTCTGTATGTATGTATGTATGTATGTATGTATGTATGTATGTATGTATGTTATGTGTGAGTGAATTCTTTGTACACAAGAATACATTTGACATTTTAAATACAGTTTTGTGAGGCGACTTAAGAGGTGAACCTGTGTGTGTGTGTGTGTGTGTGTGTGTGTGTGTGTGTGTGTCTTATACATACACTGTCTGTTTAGCTATCTATCTATGACACGGGTACAGACACGGGTACAGACACAGGTACAGACACGGGTACAGACACGGGTACAGACACAGGTACAGTGATGGTTCAATAGGTTTCTGTAGCTTACTGACCTCTGTAGTGAAGCTATTTATTGGGTACACACTGTAGTACCTTGATGAGAGAGAGAGAGAGAGAGAGAGATTAACACAGGAACCAATATTAATTAGGCCTCAAATCGATATAATACTCGTGCCCTTTTAACACTGGGGGCCATAGGTCAGATGTTGCTATGGTAACCGTTTGTTTACTTAATAGGGCTTGCCAAATGTATAATAATATTGATTTTTTTTTTATATAAGAATATTTATATGGTGTTGTTTTTCTCCTGCCATTACAGGTGAGGAAATGGTGGCGATCGGGTACAGTGCCGATCACACACACACACACACATACACCGTAAATTAATCTATAGTTGATATAATACCCATTTTATCACGTACTGAAAACCACATTGAACAAGGTCACAGTATCGTACATCAACACCACAGGAAAGAATATTAAAATGATAATCATCGTACACCGCAACCTAGACTCTCACCTCCACCAATCACGTGCGTGTCTACCAGCCTTCGTATCTTACAGACTATCTTGCAAGGTTGGGGAACATTAACGTGCTTTCTCACTGTCAAGCAATATTATGCAATGCCAAAAACGTATGTAAATATTGCAAAACGTCGGGACCATCTTCCTAAAAGTGGTCATTGCGATGGTAGAATGTTGAGAGCGTTAAAGTGTGCAACTATCGCCTCGTTCTTTGGGGTCGATGTGTGTTGCTTCAGTGGTGTTTGTGAAAGTTATCGTTTGTTTGTTGTCCTTCCTGTGTGTGTGTGGTTATAGAAGTAGCCATTATATTACTACTACTACTATTACTACTACTACTACTACTACTACTACTACTACCACTACTACTACTACTACCACTACTACTACTACTACTACTACCACCCACCACCATCACCACCCACCACAACACCTGTTCCACCTGGCGTCAAGTAAATCAATTACCTGAGTTGATTGTCCTCACCTTGTTGTGGCAGAGTGACTGAGTTAATGGTGGTTGATGGTGGTTCATGGTGTGAGAGAGAGAGAGAGAGAGAGAGAGAGAGGATGTATGGATGAATGGCGGGGTGTTGGGTAGGGGGTAGGAACACACCCGTCCATCAAGGATAAATTCGCCTCCCTCTCTCTCTCTGTCTCTCTCTCACTCTCTCACTCTCTCTGTCTCCCTCTCTCCCTCTCTCCCTCTCTCTCTCTCTCCCTCTCTCTCTCTCTCTCTCTCTCACCAGGGCGGGGTACAGGTGGCAGGTAACAGAGCTTTACGTAAAGACACCCACCACATGACTCGTTCTGGTTCACTCTATTGAGGTCGACGACACCCACATACATACATACATACAATACATACATACATACATACATACAATACATACATACATACATACATACATACATACATACAGCGCCGTACCATGGTGTGACAAGGAAGGTTTTACGTCACCTTTATAGAAGCTGTTTCAATATGGGTCTGTATCTGTGTGTGTGATGTGACAGAGTAGTGTGACGCTGTGTGACGGTGTGGCTGTGTGACGGTGTGGCTGTGTGACGGTGTGGCTGTGTGACGGTGTGGCTGTGTGACGGTGTGGCTGTGTGTGACGGTGTGGCTGTGTGACGGTGTGGCTGTGTGACGGTGCTTGGGAAAGTTTTGAAAGACCTATCCATGTATGTCTTTCCTGAGCACGAGATGTAGGTAGTGTGTGTGTGTGTGTGTGTGTGTGTGTGTGTGTGTTGTGGAGTATGAGCGTTTGTATAGACACACACACACACGCACATACTGTTCTGGTGGGAGTCTCTGTGATATCTCGAGTAACCTGTGGTACTTATTCACACCTGGGTCGACGATGGGTGCCCAGGGTATCGAACTAGTGACTCTTAGGATATCACTCGTGAGGTGTATCCACTTATCCATTACCTGAAGTAGAGTCTTAGAGAAATTTTACCGCCATTTCGGATCTATGACTGCCATTAAGTGAGTTATTTTCCCCAGGATCATTATATCATCCGTCTTAGTCCATCCTAGTGAAAATATAATGGGTGTGGCATTTTTTTCCCAGGATCATTATATCATCCGTCTTAGTCCATCCTAGTGAAAGTAATCCAGGCCTCACTAATTTTTTTCCCAGGAGAACATCGATAACTATAGTACTTCCTGGTAATAAAATAACTCTAAGATATTATTCCCAGGATGATCATCGCCCCTATACGTTGTTCCTCCTAGTGAAAGTATATTGCACGCTACACTTATTATTTATTCCCAGTATTAACACCTCCCTGGCGTTGTACTTCCTAGTTAAGAGATTCATGTATATTTGGGTTATTTCGTCCTATACTATGGCGGTGTTCATCCTGGGGAGATAAATTGTTCTTTTTTCTAGTATTATTGTCTACCGTCGTTGTTCATCCTGTTGTGAGAATATTCTAGATAGATAGATAGATAGATATAAATACGGTTTAGTTTTATAAATTCCTCTGAACATTCTCCAACAAGTGAGAAGGTCAAAGGTCACACTTGAACGGAGAGAAAACTGGTCACCTGGTTGGCCTTGGGTATGGTGACGTCTTGGAAATTCGGCTTCTGATTGGTCTTTGATTGTGTGGTATTATGGGAAATTCGGCTTCTGATTGGTCTTTGATTGTGTGGTATTATGGGAAATTCGGCTCCTGATTGGTCTTTGATTTTGTGACATCAGGTGAAATTCGGCTCCTAATTGGTCTTTGATTTTGTGACATCAGGTGAAATTCGGTTTATGATTGGTGTTTAATTCGGTGACGTTATGGGAAACTCGGCTTCTGATTGGTCTTTGATTGTGTGGTATTATGGGAAATTCGGCTCCTGATTGGTCTTTGATTTTGTGACATCAGGTGAAATTCGGCTTATGATTGGTGTTTAATTGGGTGACGTTATGGGAAACTCGGCTTCTGATTGGTCTTTAATTCGGTGACGTCATAAGGAAAATTGGGTCTTAGATCTTGGTTGGCCTAGTGGTCAGTGGTGACGTCATAAAAACAGCTTCATGTTCGTCTCTGATTGGTTGATATGTCTCTTGTTTTCCTTCGATTTCCCCTTTCTTCTTCGTCCTCATTTCCTCCCTTGCTACTTCCTCTTCCTCCTCCTCTCCCTTCTTCGTCTTTCCTTCGTCTCTCTCTCTCTCTCTCTCTCTCTCTCTCTCTCTCTCTTATAAGCGAGTTTGGCTCAAATATTTCAACATCTTATTGTTAGAGGAACTGGTTATGTGAAGTGTGGGAGGGAGTGAGGGAGAGAGAGAGGGAGTGAGGGAGAGAGGGAGGGAGATGCTGTGTGTGTGTAGGAGGGAAAGAGTGCACCTCTCTCTCTCTCTCCCTCTCTCTCCCTTGAGTACGATAATTTAACCCCTTGAGTACGATATCTTAACCCCTTGCGTACGATACGTTTTCCCCTAACCACAATGAGTCATGC